CCGCGTCTGCCTCGGCCGCCTGCCTGGGTGTGCAGGGGTTTTGTTCACGTGCTTTTGCACAGTTAACAGAAAAGGTAACTTAAATACTTGTATTTGTACACTGATGCTATATTTACTTTTATTAAATGTTACAAACACTCACTGAAATACCATAGATGTGTTGTAGACATCTATAACGCTACAAATCTTCGGGATCACACGAGTAAAAATGTTAATAAATAGTACTGACTTAACAATTGGTTCGACTTCTGTATTAGTTCATTTACTAGATTACAAGTGAAACAGGAAAACAGCGTTCACCATGATACAGGTCCGACAGCACAATAATTTAGTGTTCATTCAAGTAGTATTAAAAACATATTGCACAGATGGCTAAAGATCCCCTGCTCTGAGCTTTCCACCTCCCATAGGATGCACAAGTTACCGAACAAGAGCCAGAATCCCTGTTCCTCTCACTGAACTCATACCACCGCCTGTGCTCAAGACCCGACTGCTACACGCTTTCTCGGGATGTGCTATGGACATGAGCTAATCTAAAAGGGCATTGTAGGTTATTGTAAAAAACAGCACCAGTTACTTCAACAGCGAGTCTGAACTTTTACACTCCATTTATTCTAACGCATTCAAAAATCTCTAAAAAAATTAGGACTTGTCTGAAGCCCTAGGCAGAAGTCTCAATGACTCGTTTATGCCAGATCAGCACATACTCTACTAGTGTGTCAGAACTGAAGGCTTTTTTTCACTTCGCAGTTAGGCTGAGGGGGAGAAGCAGTGTATCGCTCGCTTGCAGGGTGCCCAGAGGGAGAAAGTGGACTCTGGCTTCCAGTGCCTGAACTCCAACCCCGGAACAGCGCTGTCTTTCACCAACGTTAAGCACCTAGTTTAGAAGCGGCAGACAGGTTAGTCCTTGCCTTGTTCTTACATCCTTTCACCAACTTACGACTGTTGGTGACAGGATACGGGCTGGAATGAACCTCAGGGCCAGCTGTTCTATTGCACTGAAAATTTACATACACACGTTGAGTTCACTGCAGTTTCATTCAATACAAAGATCACCTTCATGCTCTCACAATGCTGTCCTTTAAATCTCCACCTGCCTTTGAACAATTCTCGGCTGTGGAGATTTCCAGGAGAAACAAATTCACTTTATTTCTTTTGCTCACCTGTCCGGCTCACACATTTCAAACAGCATCAGAGCTCAATTCCCCACACCTCTTTACAGTTCAGAGTCTTCAAACAAATTACATGGGATCCTTAAATAGCTCTCAGTGGGACAGCTAATGAAGCAAAACGCTGAACCCATGCACACGTGAGCTTCCGACATAGTAAGGTGACACACAAAGACATCAAAACAAGAACTATATGTACACCACAGAACTTCACATCACAGCTCAGAATTGAGTGCCGCCTGCTACCCAGCAGTCAAATGCAAGTAAGAAACAGTACAAAAATGTGAAAAAAACAAAAAAATATTGAAAATGCTTATGATCAAGGAAAAGAAATATTATAAACTCAGGGCTTACCTGCTTGGAAAGCTGCTTGCATTGTATCCGATAAATCCAATAAACCCAAAATTTCATTTTTGGTGGGAGTGCTGGTGTAGGAAGTTCCCACCACACCCTATGACAGCCCTGTGCCATCCCCCCCTCTCATGCCAATGTCTAACAGCTGTTTCTGCTGCCATTTTATAAGCTGGACTGGGAAACTGATCTGGGCTAAAAGAGCCTCTCTGCTCCCCAAGGCATTTCTTTATTTGGATCACCACTATTGGACCGCGCGGGCCCACAGCAGCTGAAGCAGGACCGGGTGAGGGGCAGCAAAGGCAGGAGGGAGCACGAATGCTCCCTCCTCGGCACTGGGAAGGCTTTGCCATCTTGTACTTTCCATACAACTCATGTGCTTCCTTACAGTCTCTCTCTCCCTCCTCTATCCTGTTCCTAATTTTCATAAAACCTGAAAAAAAAAAAGTGTATTTTTAAGGCCTATACCTCCCTGTAGAACATGGCTGACCCCAGACAAGTGAGTCCAGCGTTAGAGGGGAGCGGACAGACACACACACAGAAAGACAATACAGTTGCACCTTGCTCCCTCAGGGAACCGGGCTAATAAAAAGCCGCACATTACAGCATCTATACAAGCCATGAGGTGAAAAGAAATCCTAAGAAGTCACTGCGGTGACGATTCAGTCAAACAGGTTTGTATTACTACCTACACGGCAGGATGCAAAACAAGGACTGGTGAGAAGGCTGGGGATAGCAGGGTCAAAACACCAGCTATTTAAATACTACCTATGGATTCTGCTGGCACTGGCACTGCTATGCTGCGCTGGGAGCTTGCCGCGGGAGTCTCCCAGTGAAGAGGTGACAAAACAGTGACCTTCCTGCCCATCTCAAGTTGCTTTCCAGACAGAATTTGAAGATCTCGTATTACATTTTGAGAGAAATAGTAAATAAATCCAGCAGACCACTTAGCATTCAATTTCTCCATGCGTAACATATTTTGACAAGTTTCTTCAGTTATCACCTTTGCTCAAGTCACAGTTTAGCACTCTAAAGACTGAAAGGTATTAAAATAGAGAAGTTTGTATCTCGCAGGGATGTTAGCAACTTTCCAGTCTCTCTCATTTCTTCCTTCCATTCCACAAAGACACACATCTTAAATTTGATTTTAAAAAAATAGTTACCATGGTAAGGCTTCTCCCCGGGAAAAAAAATAAAATCACCAATACCTGTGCATCAGCCAAAGAGCCCATTGCAAAGCCATGCAGAGTCTTTTTTTATTTTTCAAGGGCCCTGCCAGTGTGAGAATGACAAAGTGAGCACTTTTCTCAAACTGCCTCGTACTGCAGAGCACTGTTCTCCTTCTGGAAAACTAGTGCACACTTTCGGCTTGTGCTCTGGGGCTACTGCGTGACATTTCTTCCTTCATTTCCAGCCTGTGCTCTTTTCCCCTCTGGCATTTGAAGATAGAATTAGAGGCATCCTATAACTGCCCATGATTTCTGGATGTGATAACCTAGTTATCCAAGTGATACTGCTCTATATGTACCACATGCTTAGCTTGTTGCAATGAACCATTTCTATAGCTACCTTTGGACTATCAAACATTTCATCTTAAGCCCAGCATAGAAATGCAGAGTATTTTGTTTGGCTTTACTCACCTTAGCACCAGATTATAGTTCCATCCAGTGATTAATGAAAACAAATCTGTTTTTCACAGTAGTTTCTATATAGCTGCACAAAGTATTATAAGAGAGTAATTTGAAAACTTTCATGACAAAGAATGATTGGACTGAAAAATATATGGAAATCTTGTCACCACATTTATATTTCTGAATTGTTTAAAATAAAGACAAATTATACCTAGTTTTTAATGATATGCGCTAAGAGATTGTATTACACATCTCATTCATGAGGTAATCAGTACTATTATGAATACTGCATCTGCTGTTTTCTGTAGCAGCAATATGAAAATTAAATGTTTACACGTTATACACACAGACACAGCCATGTGACCGCATAGCGCTGGGAAGATTGCCTACTGCTTCCCATTTATTCAGTTCAGGGTTGTATTTCTCAATACTCTGCAGATACGTTCCTTTTGAATAGGAATATCCTCCTGTTACATAGATGCATCCGTTCATAACCACCGCGCCACACTCCATCCTTCTCTCCATCATGTGAGCCATCTGCTTCCACTCATTTTGCTCTGGGTCATAGCAGTCCGTGATCGTGGTCTGTCCACCCACAAAATAGATCTTGTTTTGTAACGTAATTGAACACAATCCGTATTCTTCAGGAAGAAAGAAATACAGTTCAACTCAGCATGATAATGTTAACTTAAACTGCAGCTACATGAGAAACACTGGGCATCACTGAGGGCGGCTGAGTTTCTTCACTGAGCTTAGGAGTCACCTCAGGATTTTCTGCTACACTGGGTAAAAGCAAGCTCAAGGCGTTACAGAAGATACAGACATGAGCACCAGTACTTAGTGAGAATTGCTTTAAAAACTTACTGTTACCAAATGTAGAACATAGAGAAAACCCTTTTAAAATTCATATAAATTATTTTTGCCGAATGCCTATGAATAGATAGATAGATTGTATAGAAAGTTAGTTTACTAGTGTTTAATAGAATGCAGCCATTCCTTAGTTCAATATTTATATAATGATTTCTATAGAACAGATGCTTGAAGAGGGTCTCTCCTTCCCCTCTCAGAGTCTGAAAATGGGAGATGATCCCACTCTGGCCCATGCTGCCCTACAGGCATTGCTCCTTTTATTAGGAACATGCCAGAAACTCTTCAGTGGGCTTAAAGACTCCCAGCTACAAGTAATCAAATCAAGCTCTACGGTCGTTACAGAAATTATTGTTTACCTGGATGCGGACTTGTGGTGACTATACTCCACTCATTGCTACCTGAATGGTATCTCTGGATTTTATCATAGGTGCAGCTTCCCCTGTACCCATAGTGACCTCCAGTTACGTAGATGACTTCATGCAGGACACAGGCGGTGGCATTTCCAACACCTGTACACAGTGTGAAAGTCACAACACACCTTCAGACTGCACACAATAACCATGGTCAGTTCCACCCGTAATCCCATTTCAAATGACTTCTTAATTAATATTTTAGGGTGAAATTATGCTTGCAAGTATTTAACTGAATGTGAAATTAAATAAACTTGTCAAGACACCTTATTTTATCAGCGTAAATCAAGAGCAATTAAATAAAACTGCAGTAACCGATACATATTGCGTATAATACAGCCACACAACGCTTCACAGAATTTTTATGCAACCACATTGGTTTTAGAATAGGGAATTACTTTCAATATTTCACTAAGTTAAAGAGATTTTTAAAAGTCACTCATATGGCAAGGACAAAGACAATGGGAGTTGAGATCATTCAGTGTCTCAGGGTATCTCTTCTGATACTTTTAGTCTTTCTCATGGTATTATTAATTATGCTATTGTATAAACAAGGACACAAACAGAATGGAGCCATGTTAACTCTGTCTCTAGGAGAACAAAACAAAATAAAATAAGGGATCTGGCAAGACAAAATGGACCAAAATTAGGAAATTAGTGTGGGGTTTTTAAGCATCTAAGAAGTTGCACACAGAAAACGCGACAAAACAACTGCACAGAATGTGTAACTGTTCACAGTATTAATGTAGCATTTCTATTTTTAAAGGAAATAAAAAGAGAATAATAGCAAAGTTTGTGGAAAATATATGAACAATGAAGAAAGTTGTAAGAGCACGAAAAGTGGTTTTTCCTGTTAGATACACCTCCAAAAACTCTCCTGTATGTAGAAAAATACTATGTTGCATCAACTTACAGTAAAATTTTATAATTAATTGTAAATAATTGCATTAATTTATAGAAATGTATGATAAAACGTGTAATTGTTTATAAATTTTGTAACAAAATAATACCCTTTAGTTATGCTATGATTCAAATTCACACATTTTTAATAGATCACTATTTTGGCTGTTAGAAACAGGTATTAGGGCTTTTCATTATCCTCACACTAAAGATTAAACTACGGATCCTGCACAGATGATACACTGAAATATGAGGCAACTGCATGCAAGAAGTTTTAAATGAAGATGACACCTTTATAAATGATTGCACAGAAAATCTTAGTAATCTGGTCTTAGATTAAAATAATACAATCCTTTTATTGGAGCTTGCTTTTTGACCATCTACCGAATGGACTCTAATCCCAGGTAGTTTTCTGATTGCTTTCTAATTTGAACAGAAATTTTACTCCTGAAAGAAGGCAAAATTAAACTGGGCCTGCCACTTGCTTTTTGACCCTAGTGTTCTGTGGCACAGCCCAGCATAGCATTTGGACGTTTACAGTCGTTTGGCTAGTAAAGACCTGAACCAAAGCCCACCAACATTAACAGGAGATTCCCATGGACTTCACTAGAACTTGGATCAAACCCTAAATGTGTCCATGGCACTTAAAAGTGGCAAATGCAAAATGAATGACAGTTGAGGCAGATGCCATACAAAAGCTTACCCACCTTTGATCATGTTTGCAATAGGAAGCCATTTCTTTTTTAAAGGATCATAGAACTCAGCTTCTTGCACCGGAGCTCCCTTTCGGTAACCACCCAACACATAGATGCAGCCACTCAAGGAAACTGCGCAGTGGTAATACCTTGCGTCAAGCATGGGGCAGCCTTCTGTCCATTCATCTCTCTCACTGTTATATATCCACACGGTGTCAAGGGCTTCGATGCTCTCTGTTCTATAACCTCCTGTCACATATATGTCTGGTCCCAAGCTAGTGACACCATAGCTCTCTCTGGTGTGATCCGGCATCTCTGTTCCCTGGACCCATGCGTTGGTTAAAGGATCCCAAACATGCACTTCTGATAAGGGATGCCAATAATATCCTCCGATCACATACATGGCTGCTGTGGGTCTTCTGGAAAGACCCTTGGGATTGAGGTTCAGGGCATTGTATATGAGTGACCTTATCTTATTGTCATTAAGTCGGCATTTTTTTTGTAGGCTTAAAGCTGACCTCAAATACATGTTATCTAAGTCTATTTTGATGTAGCTCAGCAGTTCATAGACGTCTTCAATTCTTTCTTCCACATTGTGTGCAACCCACTTAATGACAGCTTCAATGGCCACCTCTTCCTTCCAAACATTGAGATTCTCTCTGGAGAGGATGTAAGAGAGCTTCTCCTTGCCAACGTCCAGAAACTCTTCCTGCTTCCACACTTCTTCAAACTGCCATAACAATATCCTCCTGGACTCTTTTTCTAGCTCCGAGCAATCATGATATTCGGCAAAGGAGTGCATCCCTATGCAGTTGTCAGTATCTAAGTGCCTCACCAGAAACTGCTCGCAGGCTTTCTTTACTGACACGAACTGGAGGAGGTCTGCAGCCTGGAGTAGGCTTTGGACATTTCTCTTTGTTATCTGGATCTGTGATGTGTATGCATAATTCACGAGGGCTTCCAGTACGGCATGGCTGAGCCCGGGAAGTCTGATCTGGTTTTTAGATTTCTCTTTCATATCGGCTGTGAACATGGCTTTAAAATAATTGCTGCAAGCCGCTAAGGCGGCTCTGTGGCAGTGGAAGATGACCCCCGAAGCGCACTGCAGGGTGATGTCGGTGAACAGCCCGTCCAGGTAAAACGCCCGGAACGCCTCCAGGAAATCGGCGGGGTGAGAGGAGTCCTTGTAGAGGTACGCGTAGTCCTCCTGCCCA